CTCGTCTCTCTCTCTCTTTCTCTCTCTTTCTTTCTCTTCTTCTTTCTCTCTCTCTCTCTCTCTCTCTCTCTCTCTCTCCGTCTCTCTTTTTCTCCCCTCTCTCACTGTCTGTCTCTCCCGCCAGAGGTCGTAACACCCCTGAGGTGTAAAACGGACGCAAATCGGCAAAATAGCGTTTAACCCTATTTGTGCGCGCGCGACCGTGAATAACACCAAGACGGCTCGCTTTAAAACCGGCCGCCGATCGTACAAAGCGCAGCCGCGTGCGAGATCATCGCACTAAGTAGCCCGAGAGACGTCTGCGAATTCTAATGACTGCGCAGATCGTATGAGAAGTGACATCATAAATTACGTGCATTCAATAGCGACGTAAAAGGGTTGCCATTGAAAGAGAGAGAGAGAGAGAGAGAGAGAGAGAGAGAGAGGAAGCCGAGAGAGAGGCGTCTTTCTCAGCTCCTTTCTTTGCGGACCGACCGCAAATATTTTCGTAGCAATGGATATGTTTTTGCCGACATTAGCAACTTAAAAAGGCCTAATGGTTACTGCCAAACAGAGGGCTTTGTGCCGGAGACAAAACCGGGCTCCGCTGAAAGAGCGCGCACGTGGTCAGGTTTGGCACACACCTGGCGTGTTGAATTGTGTGGCTTGATAGAGTAGATATGGACGCCGTTTGCTTGACATCACTAACTATTATACATATTCGCGCCCTACGCCTCCTCCTCCTCTTCCTCCTCCACCTCCTCCTCCTTCTCCTACTTTTTCTTATTCTTAGGCTCCTCCCTTTCGCCATCTATCTCCCCTGGCTGCTCCTCCTCCTTCCTCTTCTCTTCCTCATCCTCCGTCTCCTCCCTCTCCCCATCAATTTCCTCCGCCGCTTCCACTGCCTCTTTTCTTTTTCTTTTCTTTTTCATCCTTGTCTACTTGCTCTATCCGCTTCCTCCTCCAAGAGTGGAGGAAGAGGAAGAGGAGGAGGAGGAGGAGGAGGAGGAGAAGGGAAGGAAGAAGAAGAAACTCAACGAGCAATGCGGATTTCAGCAAAAACTCGCCTCGTGTATTTTTCACGTTACTCATTACCTTTCTTCTTGTTTAATGCAGCGAGGTCGGAGAAGTGCTGCGTACCACGCGTGGCAGTCAAGGCCGCGTAAGCCATACCGCCTCTCTCACCACACGTCCACACATATTCACGATTCACAACCAGTCAGCAAGCTCAGGTGAAGCTCGCTCAAACGATTGCAGACTCCCCTATAGCTAGGCTTCCTTCTATAACCACGCAGTTACACGATACAAGTGACTCCAGGCCCACGGCACACGCAACGAACAACAAGTTGTTTCGGGAGAAATTCGACATGATTCACTGCAGATATGCGAACGTACAGCATTCTACTATTTTGTGTAATTAACTCGCTTAATTATTAATGCTCTTAGCATAACCCAACGAAATAAGGGAACGGAAGGCGTACAGCGGGTCCTCGGTATCATATTTTATAGGTATACACCCTATAAAACACCTGATTTACCACGCACCGAGAGAGAGAGAGCGACTGAGAAGGAGATAGAGAGAGCGACAGAGAGAGAGGGAGATAGAGAGAGCGACAGAGAGAGCGAAAGAGATCGAGAGAGAGAGAGAGAGGGAGAGAGAGAGAGAGAGAGAGAGAGAGAGAGAGAGAGAGAGAGAG